CCATCGTAGCAAGATGCAATTTAAAAAATATTTCTTAGATTTTTTTGCACTAAAACTTTCATTTTTGGGTCACACCCCCTTTAAATAGCATACCAAATTGATATCGTAGCCCAGCAGAAGACTAGATTATTGGAAAATTATCACTTCTTTGTTCCAGGATTCACAGCGTAGAGAAACGCTAGACCAGAAAACTCCACTGCCGGAGGTGTAGCCATACTGGTCAAACACGGTCTTGATCATCATTTATCTGGGGTCGGTGCTGAACAGCTTGAAGCTATCACCATCGAAGTTTACCACTGGAGTGGTAATTTCAGAATCATGCCCGCGAGCGACCGAAGCCGAATATTATTAATCTATCAGAAAATGTCCAACAAGCAATAATGGCGGTTTTAACTGCAAGTCGTAAGAGTGGAACGTACCTACTAAGCCAGAAAAATAGCCCGTTTCACAAAAAGCAGCGGATCGATCGTATTGGGACCGGAAGGCCTTACCTATCTCCCGGTCGTGTGCCCGATGTGATCGACATATCCATCTTATAGTGCACATGGTGTCTGTGAATGATGTCTCTCACTATTCTTGACACGGGACTAGTTCCTGTCAAGAGAATAACTAAGAAGATAAGGGAGTGGGAGAAATTCCACTCATCAACGGAGTATATATTGGTCAACCCAACACAGGAGCTCGAGTACAGGGTGGGCCTTTTCGAGGAGCTTGTATCACAGGCCTTCGAGAAGGACTTCGAATAATAAGCCTCTCCTGCCCAAAACAGCCTTACGTGATACCCGAAGGGCGATAATGGACCTATAACGCAAAAACAGAAGACTTGAAGAATCTTGAAAAACGCCATTAACGAGCTAAGCGAGTAGATGGAAAGCGAGGCTCGAGGAGTTGGAAACACTGCACCGAGAGAAAACGATAATGCCGCCGTAGCACTGACGCAACGGGATGGTCTATTCGAGCTACAAGGCAAACGTCTTTGCACACTCTCCAACAAGAAGATCTCCTGAACAGCCACCCCGATGAAGATCTTGATCCTGGTGGGAGGTGAGAGAGTCAGTCGAAAGACTGGACAAGCGGTTAAGAAATATTCCTCCTGATTAATTTATAGATCACTGATAATAAACTCATAGGCTTATAGTTATCTTGTTTGTGTGTGTTGACTACCTTTTTGTAAATCAGGCTTATTATTAGAGAGAATAGAAAGTAAACATAAAACAGCATTTAGCCAGTAAGTTGGAATTTTTGATTTATCTGGGAATCTAGGCACTAGTTGAATAATCGCTGGAGTAATGATATACAGTGGCGTAGCGACAAATTATGGCCCCCCCCCCGCGAAAATTGAGCTAGGGCTCCCACCCCTATACCTACTAAAAAATTTTAAAAAGTTTTTTTACCAAACAAAATTCGGAAATACTGATTATTTTTATTATTTAAACTACTACCCTAATATAAAATTTAACTTAAATGCCGAAAATGCCCATGAAAACACCGAAGAATATACAATACACGATAATGTGTAAAGAACGTTACAACAAATGTAATTATTGAACAAGGAACAAGAACAAAATAAAAAGGATTCTCTAAAACTAAAAGGAATAAAACCAAAAAATCTTTAGGTAGGTACCTAGCTGAGGTACCGATACTAAATACCTAAAAGCAACAGTGAGATAAAGAAAAAATATTTAAAATTAGGCGACAAAAACTAGAATGCAAAAAGAAGGTAATGGGAAGCAAGGACACAGTCTATAGGGCGATTTGATGTTTGACGTTCAAGATGGCGTTGCGGCATAACAAACTAACTATCTCTGTTTAGTGAATGGAAAATGACAATGACCGACATAGAATGGTATATACATCGGTAAAATTTGGTGAGAATAAACACGCAGGGGTCCATAAGAGACTGTGTATTTTCTGTAAATTTCTAAAGTGTTTTTATCAGTTTGAGAAGGTTTTTTGATAAAATTTCTTATTTTTGGTGTTGCTGTGGTCCATGTGATTTGTGTTTTTAACATTCATTTGCACAGCTTCTTGGGGTCCGTTTTGTACTTGATGGTCCTGATGCCCCAGGTATTTTATTGGTAGATAAATATTCCAAGTAACTCGGTTTCTGGAAAAATAGATATTTCGCGTTCGCGACTTTTCTGTTGTAATAAAAACAGTTGCATCTAGGGAATTCTAACAAAAACTGTTTTTAAGAATGTACTTTTGTGCTTGCTTGACCAGTAATTTTTTTTTGATTTTTCTCATTTTTTGAAAAAAAAAATTCATAAAATGGGAAAAATCAAAAAAATTTTACTGGTCAAACACGCACATAAACATATCCTTGAAAAAAGTTATCAGTTAAAATTTCCTAGATGCAACTGTTTTCATTAAAATAGCAAAGGCGCACTCGCGATTTTCAGCATCGAGAAGCGCACTCTTAACTACGCACATTAAAGGAAATTGAAATAAATTAAAATTCATCAAATTAATTTTTGAAACTGGTAGAAATAACACACATTTATATGGAGGCAATGTTTAACCGCAATGGTTTGTTTACATCGTGCCGCATTGCCATCTTGATTTATCAGCTGATTCGAATCGCCTAATAGCTACGAACTTTTATTTCTAAACGCGACGTTTCGATGACATTGTCATCTTTTGCAAGTCGGGCCGTGTTTGTTTTTGTAATCATTTTCGTCGATTTGCTCCGAAATTTTGACAGGCATGTGGCTAGATCAAACAGTTAATTTACAAATCACGTGCCTGTCAAAATTTCGGAGCAAATTGACGAGATGACAAAAACGAACACGGCTTCTGTTAAAATATTAGGCCTGTTCGCACAGCAATCACAAACCAATCAGAGCGAATTTCATTATTTGAAAACAGTCAAAAACAGTCACAAAACTAGTTTCAACCAATGAAATTCACTGACCGGTTTGTGATTTCTATGCGAACAGACCTAAAAACATAGGTACAAGCAGAAACCGAGCATCACCAATCTGACACTCAAGACATTTAAATTCCAGCCGTTATCTTTTATTGTCGCTTTCAGGTGGTAAATTGTTTTTTTCTGACTTTTGCCTCCGCAAATGTTTTTATTAGATGGATATTATCCATTTTGGCCGCCTCTTGTGCCTCTATGAACAGTATATCCAAGTTAGTTAACCTTGTCTGAGAGGAACTATTTCGTAAATAATTTTTAATTATTTTTAAGCAATAGGCTCTTTTGGGCCTCGGAGCTTTCGGGCCCTCCTTGGGCCTGGGCCCCCCGCCACTGCGGGGGTTCGCAGTAGTAGCGCTACGCCACTGATGATATAGCAGATTCTTCTCCATATTTAATTTTTTTTGCATTTCTGCCGCCTTTACTCCGTAAGTAAACCCAGATTTTTCGAATTTTCGAAGTTTGTTTTTCACCTTCGTAGGAGGTTTTTATATTTCCTTAGTCAGTTTTTCTCCGCTATCATCAATTAGTTTTTGTTTGCTCATGCGTCCTTCAAAAACTTTGGTAATTTTTCATTTTGTATCTAGGTATTCTGCTGATATCATACTTAAATAGTCATATTATAGGATAATAGTTTTCATTTTCAAGCGGTCTATAATTTGAACTTTATTGTGGTCAACACTTGACACAGAAGTGATCCATTATGTTCCTAGGACTATAAAGGTTTTTGTGTATGCGGTAACTCGTTCGTTTTTTTTCTCGCTAGAGACAGCAGCTATCAAGTTCTTGTAATTATTAATTTTTCGTTTTCTTCTCGCTAGATGGCACTGATGGCGGCGTCAACTACAGTGCCTCTATACAAGACAGTGGCGACAATAGAGGGTCTCATTTTTGATTGGCTACAGAATATCCGCCTTGTTTTAACGAAGGTTATTTGTATTTATCATTTGATCCTATGGAGATTTATGGAATTTTGTATTTATATATTTTTGTTTTTGTTATTTATGCCTGTTATTGACTATTATGTGATAAAAAATTGGAACAGAAAGAAAATAAAGATCAAATACATTATTAAATCAGTTCGACAAATCATGGCGGGTGGGCGGAGCTTAGGCACTAAAGGTATTTGTGTTTACCATTTGATTCTATGGATATTTAAGCAATTTTGTGTTATTATATTTTTGTTTTTGTTATTTGTGCCTGTTATTGACTATTTTGTGATAAAAAAATTAGAACAAAAAGAAAAGAAAGAAAAAATACATTATTGAATGAGTTCGACAAAACATGGCGGGTGGGCGGAGCTTAGGCACTATTGTCGCCACTGTCTTGTATAGAGTCACTGTAGCGTCAACGACCGAGCTCACGACCACTTTCACGAGCTAGCATGTTCTGAGCAGTAAAATGTGTTCCGAGTAACTTAATATTGATTTGACATTTCAAGTAAAGAAATTTGACAAACGTCGTAAATTTTTATTGGAAGCTGTTTATGCTTCCGATGAAAATGGATAAAAACCGCCAGTGATTAAGTTGTGAAAGGATATATTGCAGTCCTTTGAAGATAAAATGTTGTAGGCATTCCGCCTCGAAGATCGTTTTGTGCTTCTCCTAATTGTAAGCCTCCGCTACGCGTCGGCATTCAAACTTTGAGCTCAGCACAAAAAGACCCACTTCTTGGTCTTATGATATAAATAACTATTTCAGGACACTTGCGAAATTGGTTCATTCTGAACGCAGTTTTTGATTACCTAATAGCTTCATTCCATCACTAGTGAAAACATATTAATTCCATCACTGATGAAAGGGCGCAGTATCTAATTAGTTCGAGTATTAAATAAATATTATTGTATTAACATTCTTTTATTTGAATAATAGTAATAACCTCGCGTTATATCTTTTCAGTATACCTATGATACTGGCAGCATAGTGTTGATTTTACTGCAACCCCTCCGGAGATAATTAGGTAAATTATATTTATGCTTGTTGTTTAGATTTGATAGTCGTAGAAAAAGTAACGTGTGATGTAGCCATTTGAAGGGAAGTTTCAAGTTGAACACATTGTATGGATATAGGTACTTACTTTCGTTCAAGTTCTGCTGGTTTCTGTAAGATAACTTATTAGGAGTTAGCACTTGTGTGACTTGCACCTCCCTTTTTTTCGCTGTGCCTGAAACAAAAAAAAACCTATTTTAATTTTCTCCCCCATAAACGATTTATTTGTTAGAAATAGTTTATTTTTCGAGAAAGATTTTCTCAATATTTCCATCTTTCCTTGAAATTCAGAGTGTTAATAAATGGATTGCTTCTTTGGTTTCTATAATTTGGGGTCATGTGATAAAAACGTTCTACTATAAGCTTTCAGTTTACTTCATCTTCAAGCGGTCTATAATTTGAACCTCAAATTCGTCAACACTTGACACAGAAGTGACCCATTATGTTTCTAGGATCATAAAGATTTTTATGTCTGGGATAATTTGTTCGTTTTTTCTCGCTAGCGGCAACAGTTTCAATCAGCGCTATTATGTTCTTGTAATTGATTTTTCATTTTCTTCTCGCTAGATGGCAGCGTCTACGACTGAGTTTGGGAATTAGCTTCAAGAGCATACCTAATTTATTAAGGGTATTGAATGCGCCGTTTAAAATATATTGTAACGCACGTCGAACTATACGACTACCCAACAAGTTAATGCTAATAAAGATGCGAGGTTCATCGCGATTATTGCATTGGGCCACTGTTGGGCCGGTAGGCGCTGGATCCTTCATGATAGCGATTTAAAATTTATTGCAAAACAGGCGGAGGAAAGAGCCATAGGGTTTGCTGCGGGTATAACAGAGACAGGCAAAATGACAAGAAGAATTAATTAAACCTCTACAAAAAAAAACTAGATAATTTTTGGGATTCTGGTTTGTGCTATTGTATTGCTAATACACATAAGATTGGCGCTAATTAAAAAAGACACCATAAATTGATTAATTTTCTCGTTTTTTTCCAGTTTGAATTACATTTTTGTAATTTTTGGAGAACTTGTTTCTATTACCAGATTTCTAAAAAGATAGCGCCATTCTTCCCTATAATATAAATCGAATGCAAAAAAGAAATTTGATATAACTTCAACTGTTAAAAAGTTACGTTGAAACTAAGAACACAATGCCTTCCTTGTTTCATTCATCTCATTCCCACTTAGGAGTATTAATAGGGGAGGAAGAATACAATGATAGACTGCGTTAGGTGCTTCGCGCAGGAAAAAATATTTTGGCATCGAGGCGCATTCAATCCCCTTAATGGAACTGTCTAGAGTCCCGAACGCGGGATCGCTAAAAAAAAGCAGAATCCCGAAGAGGCGTGGCTTAATAACGACGTTCGGGACTTTCCAAAAATTATTCGAATCCCAACCTCGGGACTGTACCTAGTAACAGAAGTAAACTCCCGAATTAATTTTATCGTTTCTGTCGCATTTCTCCTTCGCTTTGTAACTGTTGATCTTGTTTATCCTTGCTGCTGTCTGCTCTACCTGGTGCCTCATAAGTTTCAACAGGGGTGTTCGTAATTATTATTTCAGAATTTTCCAATTTCTGATCTTGTTCTTCATAGTCCATATGGATCTCATAAGTCTCGGGCCAGTATTCTCGTCACCGGGGAACAGCGTTCTCTCGAGAGAACGATTGCTCTGTCTAAGTCACTTATATTGTTTTTTCCATAATACTGACAAGGACGGAGCAATTGTTCTCTTGAGAGAACGCTGTTCCCCGGTTACGAGAATACGGGCCTCGATAGGGGTATCAACGACAACTTGTTCATCATTAGGGATTATTTCAGAATTTTCAAACTGCTGCTCTTGTTCATCATAGTCCTGAATCTCATGTCTCGATAGGGGTATCAACAACAACTTGTTCATGATAAGGGATTATTTCATATTTTCATCTTAGATCAGGTTTATCTTTAACTGTCTTATATAAATTAGGGGCATGATGCTTCGATTCTTCGATAGTAGTAGATAGGATCTTGTAATTCTTTATATAAACCAAATGTGTCATTTTTATATCAACCCCATAATAAAGGCTACAAATTTTCAGCCAAAACTGCCCAAAACCCGCAACAGTTGGCTAGTCTAACCTAGGTGTATATAGGATAAACATATAATACATAAAGAATTATTACAAATTCGGGAGTTTACTTTTGTTACCCTGGTCCCGAAGTTTGGATTCGAATAATTTTTGGAAAGTCCCGAACGCCGTTATCAAGCTACGCCTCTTCGGGATTCTGTTTTTTTCTAGCGATCCCGCGTTCGGGACTCTAGACAGTTCCTTTATTAATAATTTGCACTAATTTTCTTGTTCAATATTATGAATGAAATTATTGCATAAATGAAATGCGAGCATAAATAAATACGGATAATCAACTTGATCTGGCTGCTGGTTTACACAAGCAGCTATGTTCCGAGCAGTAAAATCAGTTTCGAGTGATCTAATATTAATTTGACACTTGAAGTAAACAAATTTGACATACTGTCGAAAACTATAGTGGCAACCAAAGTTGTTTAAAAGAGGTAGGTTGCCTGATAACTTTTATGACGTCATCTGGGGTGCCCAAACATAATGCAAATCTCAATTAGGCACCCTAGATGACGTTATCTGTTTCCCATTACTAGACGACCTATTAACTTCAGGAGCCTTGATTGGCAACCATTTTTTTTCCGAGAATGGCTGGAAAATGCAGTGATTTAGTTGTGAAAGGAAATACTTCATTCCATCGAAGCGAAGGTAAAATGTTTTATGCCATCAGGCTCCGAAAGTCTTTTTGGCCTAATGACATAATTGACTATTATTTTCAAATTGTTAAAGTGCATAGGTACTGAGTATGTATGGACTTTTTAGGTCAAGTTTTGAGGCAACATTCGATTGGAAACATGTTATATGAAAATCAGACTTTTCCAAAGTCAAATATTCACACCTGAGATGGCGGCAGCATTGAAAGAATACTCACTTCAATCTACAGTAAGAAAGCCAGAAGCAACCTGTTAAGCTCGAATTACCAGTTTCAACCAAAGTATCGTATGCATTTCACAAAACAAATTGGAAAATGTTGTTACTCGATATTTTTCTCCACCAGGCCAATACAATTAAGATTGGGTAATTTAATTATTTATTATACGAAGAACATTTCGATAATATTTTTAATAATTTTATTGCTTATCTCAGGAGGGTGTCACAATTGTAAATCAGAGAGTCTAGAAGATCGTGGCAAAAAATACATCAAATGCGAAAAGTGTCATTCAGAGAGAAAGAGGTGAATAATTAATAACTCATATTAAAAAAACTTGTGCAAAAGGTAGTGCTTTTACACCTGTTTGGATAAGATGAAAAGAAGATTAGATTCAACCAAAGAAAAAGAAAGTTGTCACAAGATGCGCCCGTCTGATCTGATGTAGGAGTGATAGAATACGCAAATGTACCAATTATCAGACCATAATTTCGTCTTCAATGAAGATAATAATATAGTGAGGTCAGAGGTGTTTCTGAAGGCGATTCTATTGATCCTCAACAGAAATTTGCTATCAAATATAGAATCAGTTTCAACCACGACGTTGCGGCAATAGTTACCTAGTTTGAAGGAGATGTGGCTGTGCTACCTCAACCATTCGAAGACAATATTTGATATGTATTTATAGATCTATTTTTATGAGATATTTTTTTAGGACAGGCTTGCTAGTGCATTCCCACATAACAGTGAAAGAACATTCATATTCTCAGAATATTCCCTCAAAGTACTTTTTGGAATGTTCTTTTAGGAATGTTCAATGAATATTCTAAGATTGTTTCGATTGAAATATTCATTTTTGAATGTTCTATTTATGTACTAGGAATGTTGCTTCTATGCACCTACCTGAAAGATTGTGCTAAGAACCTACTTTATATAACATTATTTGAATATTCTCATACGAACATTATTATAATGTACCCTAAAAAATGTTCTTTAAGCTAATATCTCTATCAAGTATTAAGAATATACCTACCAAGTTGTGCTGAGAAGTTTATGTAGGTAGGTAACCATGATAAGAATATTTTCATATTGTTCACCAGTTCACCTAATTATCTAAAGTACCTACTCAAAAATCTTAATTGTACAATTAAACAATAATGCTCTATTTAGAAACTACTAAGAATATTATAGGTATATTCTTTTCCTTTTGCTTTGTATGACTTCCAAGAGAGGGAGCGACGCGCTATTAAAGATCTACATCTTGCCTCGCATTTGAATCACCTTGGAACCTGTTTCTCTCAGTTGGCGTGCTTCGACGAGAGCATAACAAGCTCGAAACCGGAGCTTTGGTTAAATACTCGTGTTTTCTAGAGAAGTTTTCCAACAACTCTTTCATTGCCTTTAATATAAAAGGGCTGAAACGAGCATTATTTAGAAGCGAAAATAAACATTCCAAGTATATCCTTAGAATCAAACAAGAATGTTATGTCTAGGATGCATATTGAGAATGATATATGTAAGTAGATATATTCTAAGAATATTTAAAGCATATTGGTATAATATTCTTTTGAGAACATAACTATAATGTCATAGAAACATTCTTCGAATGTGAGAATATAGGTACCTTTCGAGCATATTTTTAGAATCAAACAGGAATATTCTTTTAAGGACGTACTGAGAATCTCATAGGTATATTCTAGGAATATCCTAATGGATTTCCCAGGAAGTTCTTGGGTATTGCAAACAGTATTTCTACAATCTTTTCTCAGAACATTCGCAATGGTTTTGGCGAACATTCTAGGCACATTCCTCCCAAAAAAAGAACATTCTTAATACATTCTAAGGATGCAATTTTGTTATGTGGGTTTAGTTCATTATCTCCTCGGGTTGAGGAGATCATGAATATTTTATTGTAACATTTTTTATTGAATCAAGATATTGGAATGCAAATTTTAAGACTACATATATACAAAAAGTGTCTCATGTCTCCTCTATGATGATTGAAGTACTACTAAGTTTGTGAGTCGTATTCATTCACAACCAGTATATTTCGATATCGATAACAGAGTATGTATATATTTTTTGCGGTTAATGATATCATAAACTAAATCAAAGCACAGTTTTTACCGCACCTAGGCATGAAGTAACCAGTACAATAACTATTGTTGATTTGAGGTAACATTCTA